TTTCTCTCTTTTCCACTCTCTCTCTCTCTCTCTCTTTCTCTCTCTCTCTCTCTCTCTCTCTCTCTCTCTCTCTCTTTATGCCCCACCCCCCTCCTACTCCCTCCCCCTGACGTCCTCTTTCTCTCTATCTCTCTCTCTCTCTCTCTCTCTCTCTCTCTCTCCTCTATATTATATATATATATATATGTATCTCTCTATCTCTCTATGGTCCACCCCTCCAACTCCCTCCCCCCCTCGTCCTCTCTCTCTCTCTCTCTCTCTCTACCTCGATCTCTGCCTCCTTCTCCCATTCCTGGGGCCTGGCCTCGCCCCCCCCCCCCCCCCCAGGGCCGGTGCGGCGGGGGTAGACGTCACCGCCTCGTGGCCCTCCCCTTGAGTCGGGCGTGTCCCTCTACAGGAGGAATAACCAAAAATAGTGCAAAAATAATCTGGGGACGATTTGTCTATTATTTGTCATTAATGTTTAGCCTGTTTGGGCGATTCTTTTCCGTCCAAAATCGGCCTGTAGGGGGACATGCCCGACCTAACCCTTCCCCCTTTGAGGCTCCCACTTTTCGGGCTCCCTCTTGCCAGAAATCCGAGATGAGCTCTTCGAGGACTTCCGCTTCAAGCCCACCCCTTCCCTCTCGCCCCCCCCCCCCCGGGTGAGGACCGTCTTTGGGCCTCACCCGTAAGGACCGCCAATAAGCCTCACACCCCACGCAGCTTCCATCGTAGGGGCTACGTGGTTTCCCACCCCCACCTATCATGACGGCGTCAATTGCTACCGGAGGGGGCCGAGGCCCTCCCTACGGTCCCTCGGCCAACGAAGACGGCTGTCGGGAGGGGTGCCAACGTACCTTCACGACTCTGACCTGAATACCTAAAGGCGCCAATTGCCACCATTCAGTGTTTCCTCCCCCCTCCCTTCTCCTCCTCCCAGCCCCCACCGCAGCCACCGCCGCCGCTGCCGCCTCCGTGGCCGCTGCCGCCGCCGTGGAACTCAGCCTTGATCCCCGACAACCCTGTAAGGCTGGGTCCTCGGTTTAAATCAGCAGCGCCCAGCGTCTCCAACCTCCTCCCCCTCCTCCCTCCTCTGCCCTCTGCCCTCGGCACACCCCTCACACGCTTGGTGGCCGCATAGGGAACGCCAACGGAGGCCCCAGTGGCAGGGTCCGCATGGTGGCATCACCTCCATTTCGGCGTACCCCATTTAACTTTTCGTGGCCCCGTAAGGAACTCCACCGAGAGCCCCAGTGGCAGGGTTCGCACAGCGCCGCCCCGCACATCTCGGCGCACCCCTCACACGCTTCGTGGCCCCATGGAGAGTTCCACCGAAGGCCCCAGTCGCAGGGTTCGCATGGCGCCGCCCCGCCCATTTCAGCACACCCCCCACACGCTGCGTGGCCCCGTATGGAGCTATACAGAAGGCCCCAGTCGCAAGGTTCGCATGGCGCCGCCCTGCCAATCATATCGGCACACCTCTCACACGCTTCGTGGCTCCACAGGGAGCCCGAACGAAGGCCACAGTGGCAGGGACCCACCGCTTTCGGCACACCATTCACACGCTCCGTGGCCCCATAGGAAGCTCAGACGAAGGCCTCAGTCGCAGGGTTCGCATGGCGCCACCCGCCTATTTCGGCAAACCCCTCAAGCACTTCGTGGCTACACCGAAGACCCCAGTGGCAGGATTCGCATGGCCCCAACCCACCAATTCCGACACACCCCTCACAAGTTTCGTGGTCCGACGAAGGCCCCAGTCGCAGGGTTCGCATGGCACCGCCGTGCCAATAATATCGACACGCACATCCCACTTTTCGTGACCCGTAAGGAGCTCCACCGAAGGCCCCAGTCGCAGGGTTCGCATGGCACCGCCCGCCGCCGCACCCATTTCGGCACACCCCTCAAACGGTCTTGGCCCCAGACGGAGCTCCACCGAAGGCCACAATCGCAGGGTTCGCATGGCGTCGCCCGGCCCATTCCGGCACACCCATCAAACGTTTCGTAGCCCGATAGGGAACTCCACCGAAGGCCCCAGTCACAGCGTTCGCTTGGCGCTGGCCCGCCCATTCCAGCGCGCCCCTCACACGTTTGTGGCCCCACGGAGCTCCAGCTTCCTTCGCCCCTCTTGCCTTGCGGTATTCGCACTTGCATATGGTTGGGTCATTCGGCAAAATAATTCTCGAGACGTTGGATATCTGGTCGTCGGTCCATACCTCGGGCCCCCAGCGGCCGATCGGGACGATCGTGGCAGCCCCCAGGACGCCCCCGGCGAGGCGCAGCTGCTGGAGAGCATCCCAAAGCCAGAAAAAATCTGAAGAACCGACGAAAGCGTCCGGAAACTTCCAAAAAACGCAAGGCTTGGAGGCTTGGAAACCCGCCGGCCCCCTTGCGGGGCCACCAGGCTGTAGGCCGGGAATGTGCTGCTCCCTGTGCCAGTTGCAGCTTCCAGTTTCCACTGTTACAGTTCTGCTTCTTGCTGCTTACTGTTTCTTGTTGATGAACGCGCGAGGGGGAGGAGCCCAAACCAGCAGAACTACCACGCCCTGGGAGGGTTCTCGGAACTTCTGAAGGGGGTAAAAATTCACACCCCTCACGCAGATCCGCACAGGGTCGAAAAACACAATGGATTTGCCACATGATTTATATTCGGCGCCACCCCTCGCGCAGATCGGCGGGGTCAGGGTCCAAAAACACAGAGGATGCGCCACATTTCTAAAACTCGGCGGCACCCCTCACGCAGATCGGCGGGGTCAGGGTCCAAAAACACAAATGATGCGCCACATTTCTAAAATTCGGCGGCACATCTCATTCAAATCGGCGGGGACAGGGTCCAAAAACAAAAGAATTTGCAACATTTCTGAAATTCGGTGGCACCCCTCACGCAGATCGGCGGGGTCAGGGTCCAAAAAAGACAAAGGACTTGCCACATTTCTGAAATTCGGTATCACCCCTCACGCAGATCGGCGGGGTCAGGGTCCAAAAACACAATGGATTTGCCACATGATTTATATTCGGCGCCACCCCTTGCGCAGATCGGCGGGGTCAGGGTCCAAAAACACAAGGGACGTGTCACATTTTTTAATTCGGTGGCACCCCTCACGCAAATCGGCGGGGTCAGGGTCCAAAAACATACGGGATGCGCGACATTGATAAAATTCGGTGGCACCCCTGACGCAGATCGGCGGGGTCAGGGTCCAAAAATACAAGGGACGTGTCACATTTCTCAAATTCGGTGGCACCCCTTATGCAAATCTGCAGGGCCAGGGTCCAAAAACACAAAGGATTTGCCACATGTCTGAAATTCAGTGGCACCCCTCATGCAAATCGGCGGGGCCAGGGTCCAACATCGAGGGGATGTGCCACATATGTGAAACTCGGTGGCACCCCTTACGCAGATCCGCAGTGCAGGGTCAGTAAAAATAATAGCAATTGCAACATTTCTAAAACTCGGCGGCACCCCTCACGCAGCTCGGCGGGGCCAGGGTCCAAAAACACAAGGGATGTGCAACATGTTTGAAATTCGGTTGCACCCCTCACGCAAATCGGCGGGGCCAGGGTCCAAAAACACAGGGGATGCGCCACATTTCTTAAATTGTTTGCAACATTAATGAAATTCGGTGGCACCCCTCACGCAGATCGGCGGGATCAGGGTCGAAAAACAAACAGGTCCCGACACTGCTTCACGGCGGCGCCCATGATTTAGCTTTTGCATCGCCCATTATCCGAGACAGGGGGCCGGCAGCATAGGGCGAAGCCCTTACGGATAAGCACAACACCAACACAGGGGGGTGCCTCCCCCGAGGGAAAATGATCCTAGATCTCGATGTTGGTTGCAATACGTCGGCCACTTAGGAGCCCGAGCATTACTACCACCACCGAGATCGGGGCCATGTTCCCTCGGTGGAAGTACTGGGGAACTCAAAAGGTACCCATACCGCTACTCCCTGGACCTCTCGGGGGGGGCATTATGACCAGACTTTCGAGGCGAGTCCAGCCATGGCGACGAGGGCCTCCAAGAAGGCCCATAAAGCGAAAACGAGGCAAGGGTAGAGGTATGGGTACCCTTTCCTCCTCTGAAGCACACCGCCGATATCGGTTATGGTGCTAACCTTCAAACCTCCAAATTGCAGCGGCGTGCACAGGGGGAAATGAGAGGGGGCGGGCCTTTTCAGAAGGCTCGGGAGTCAACCGGCCTTCTGAAAAGTTTCTAAGCCTTCCCCTAAGACACAGAACACTTCTCAGAAGGCCAGGGGGGCTTCTGAGACGCCCCGCCGCCTTCTGAGCAGGCCTCCTCCTTCTCACTCCATTCCCTCGCTCACCGACGATATCGGTGCTGGTGCTACGTAACCTCTCATTGCACCGACCTTGCAGACGTGCTGCAGCGGAATTTTGCATGGATTTCTGTGAATGCAAAACCCCGAAACAGCGAGCGAAAAACGACGTGAATGTCACGTCCTGGCCGGAAAAAAAACGCACGACATTTACCACGAAATCCGGGACGGCCCTCTCCAGGACAGTCCGGGCCCACCCCACTGTTCTCCGAGCGAACTCCGCTCTGCGATGCCGCCGCCATGAAGCCTCTAGACTTGAGTCAGGCATGTCCCTCTACAGAAGGAAGAAGATCCGAAAAGATTTAAAAAGAAATGGTCTGGGGACGACGTCTCGACTACCTTGGGCCACTTTTGCACATGTTTGGGCTAGTTCTCATTGTTCTTCCAGAATCCGCCTGTAGGACGACATGCCCGACCTGTCTCCAGACCTCCGAGATGAGCATCGTTTAACCGATCCTCATCCCCAGCGGCGTGGCGGCCTGGGCCCCACAGGCCGATGTACCCCCCCAGGATGGGGCTATGTAGGTCGTTCCCTCCGGGCCTCGAGGGGCGCATCCCCCGACTGGCGGGGGTACTTTGGTAGGGGTCTCGAAGGGGACGAGGATGGGGACGGGGTTCGGCTCAACGATACTGACGAGAGGCGGCGTCGTGCCGCTGCCGCCGCCGCGGGGCGCCACCCCTCCGCGCCTCCCGCAGCCGGGCGCGCGGGGCGGGGCCAGGGCCGGCCAGCAGCGCGGCCGCGAGCCGCTCCAGGCACGCGGCCCAGAGGCGCGGGGGCGAGCGGCGCAGGACGCGCCACGCGCGCTCCTCCCGCCTGCCGCAGCTTGGGGGGAGGAGGGGGAGAGGGAGGAGGAGGAGGAGGAGGAGGAGCAGGGGGAGGAGGAGGAGGAGGAGGAGGAGGAGAAAGGAGGAGGAAGGAGGAGGAGAAAGGAGGAGGAGGAGGACGAGGAGGAGCAGGAGGAGAAGGAGGCGAAGGAGGAGGAGAAAGAAGAGGCGGAAGAGGAGGAGGATGAGGAGGAGGATGTACCACCCCAGACACCCTCGAGCCACGAAAGACAAAAACACGACGGGAGGTTTTTCGCCACTTCCGGCCTCGGGGGGCCCTCGTCGGGCCTCGGGACCGCCAAAAAGTTGCTCGGGATGTGAAAAACTGGTCCAAGGGGAATGGGTCGAGACCTCTGGGGGTCGACGTTGTGACAAAATCATGATTTCGGGGGTCTAGGAGGGCCACTGCGAGGAATGCCGAGGGGACGGGGTGGCGGGACAGGGATGGGAGCGGGACGGGAGACCGGGGTGGGGACCGGGATGGGAGTGGGGATGGGGGTGGGGATGGGGATGGGGATGGGGAAAGGGAAGGGAGGGGGAATGGAAATGTGGATGGGGATTAAAATCGGGATGGGGGGCGGAGGTGGGGATGGGGATACGGGCTATAAAGTGACGAAGGGATAGGGATGGGGGTACCGAGGTACTTCTTCATATCAAAAATAGCCTGCACAAGCAGTGAGGGTGCACACTCCGAGGCCCAAGACGGCTGCTCAGGTTAAAGAAAGGCAGACTTGAAACGAACAGGCGCTAGACCTTGCAGGTGTAGCGACGAGCACGAGGACGAGTCAAAGGGAAGGGAAACGCGGCCAAAAATCGTGCTTGAAACGTGGCCTAGACCGCGGGCGTCAGACCGGGTCACAAGGATGCGCGGTAAGGACGCAGAGCACTTTGACGCGCAGACTGAAGGCGAAAATGGAAGCCAGCGCATCGTGGCTAAGGGCTGAGGGCTGGGATGGGCCGAAGGGCGCAGATGCAAGGGTGCTCTTCGAAGGTTACTCATCCGAGTGATGCGGTTTGAAGGCAAGCGGATGCTAAGGTGATGTATATCTGGCCTGACCTAGCTTATGAGCGGGCTACAGGTGCACTAAATGGTTTGGGCGGGGTCAGATAGTGCTCCGCTAAATGGGTGGAGCCCACTTGTCCGAGATCCTTTACACCCCAAGCCACTTGGGACGCCTGTGACTAAGCTAGCCAGGTTAGGCCAGATCTAGCCTGATTAATTACCCCAGCATCCACTTATAGCCCCTCCACCCCCTCAGTACCCCCACGGCGACAGCGCAACCGAAAATCCGTCCGAACCGACAGCGAGACCGAAAACGACCGACGCCGAATGTGCCAGGAACGGCCGCGAGAGAGGGGCGCAGCGCCTGGGGCAGCGACACGGCAGCCGAGCTGACCGAGCCGGCCGAACGCAGCCGACTGCGACGCAACCGAAACTTCCTCCTCCTCCTCCTCCTCCTCCTCCTCCTCCTCCTCCTCCTCCTCCTCCTCCCCCTCCTCCTGCTTCCCTTCCCCGGCATTCGGGACACGGGACCCGATGGAAGCGGTCTCTGGACCCCGGGGGCCCTCCCAAGGATGCTGCGCATGCCAAACGGGCCGCTGCGCCTGGGCCATGTGTTGCCCCGCCGCAGCCGCCGCCGCCGCCGCTGCCGCCGTCGTCGTCGGCGTCGTCGTCGTCCTCGTCGTCGTCGTCGTCGTCCTAGAGACATCCACTCCTTTCGCCATCGAGGACGAGGCCCTCGCTTGAATGCCTCGTCTGATGCCCCCCTTCCCCGCCGAGGCCTCGCTGCAGCGATGGCGCCGTCCACGTCGCCAGACGCGGCGCAGCGGTCGTAGCGCAGGCGGGCGAGGCCGCGCGCCAGGTAGTGCTGCGGGCGCTCCGATTGCAGCACAATCGCCTCTCGGCGGCGAGCCTGGGGGGGAGTGAGGAGGGGCAGGCCTTCTCAGAAGGCTCGAACGTCCTCCGGCCTTCTGAGAAGTGTGCCAAGCCTTCCCCGAAGACGCCGACAAGCTCTCAGAGGGCGCGAGGGCTTCTGAGAAGCCCCGCCGCCTTCTGAGACGCATTCTCCTTCTCGCTTCCCCCCCTCGCTCGCCGCCGGGCCTTTAGCGCGCCGCCGCCGGCCTGGCCCCCGCTGGCCGCCACCAGCTGCGCCTCTCGCGCGGCGTCCTCCCGCGCGAGCCGGCGCACGTGCCGGGCGCTGGGCGCAGAGCCGCAGGTGCAACACGCCGACGCCGACGTGGGCACGCAGGCC